ATGGGGGAAGGGGAGGGAGGGGTTTCGTGATGCAGAGAGAGAAAGAGGATAGATGTATACAAACCCGTTACAATAGTTCGCAATGGTGGAGGAAGTAGTTCGAAAAAAGTGTCTCAGTCCATATAAAGTCTCATCGTGGGGGTCCTCTTCAGATGGAGCAGGGTCGCCCATTGCTGAAGAATCCTCTCGAAGTGAAGTCCATCTGGTGCTGAGCGAGGGTTCAGGTGGTCCCCTCTGGGTCTGGTCCAGCAGCGGTTCATCTGGTGGGGCTGGAGTACTGGCAGTGGCCTGTGATGTGTTCCACATAGATGTCACGGGACCAGCAAATGGTGTTAGACACCGTGAGGTAACGCATTAGCTCAGCGTAGAGGCGGAAGACACAGCAGGCACACAGGATGCTCTCATTGTTGGGGTCCCAGGCTCCGAACGTTCCCATGATGAGCGCATCGACCATGACATCATAGCCACGGCCCCTCAGGATGTCGGCCACCGGGGCGTACTTCTCCCGCTTGCGAGCCCGGGCGTTGGTGAAGGCTTGGCGCTGGTTCTTGAAGAGGATGGTTACGTCCACAATCACAACCTTCTTGGCCTCTTCATTCATGATGATGATGGCAGGTCACAGCCGGCTCTCACAGCCTGGGATGGTGCGGTTCACAGAGATCTCCCCCGCTGCAGCCAGGATGGCCCTCACCAGGCGGTCCTGGACAGCACTGTGGTGGAACTGCCAGGCTCTGTCGTGCAGCTTGCAGCTGCACAGCACATGGGGGAAGGTCTCTACCACATAACCGCACCATTGGCACCTCTTGTCCCAGTGGCCAAAGTGGACGGCCCCATTCAGAGGCAGGCAATTCAGGTGGGTATGGTAGATGAAGCGCCAGTCCGCAAAGCGTGTGAAGCTCCTGCTGGGTATGAAGTGGTTGCTGGAGTCCCACTTCAAGGTGACACCGAAGACCTTGCCCTGGTCAGGTTTGGCCCTCAGGTTGCCAGCATACTTGTTTTGGATGATGTCCTTTAAGAACCTCTCCAGGAAGGTCCTTGGGCGGGATGTCACGGTGACGCGGTTGGTGTGCAGGGCTGGTTGCAGGGAAACTCCCATCTCCCAGTGCTCCTCGGTCCAGGTCCAGGCACAACTGATGTGTTTCCTGAGGCAGCACATGGCATTGTGGGCTCGGCTCCACAGTGAGGCAAAGTCCCCGCCATCTCTGCTGAACTCGCCCTCCAGTGAGCCGTTGAGGAAGGTGTCCAAGTCACGTCTGGTCAGCTGTCTCGCAGTCCTCTTGCAGGTGGTCTCCTCGAGGACACTGGCAGTGATGATACTTACCTGATGATACTTACCGTGGTATCCGGGCAGGTCAGGAGGAAGGTGTGGGTGATCACCACGATGTCGCAGAGGTCTCCCATGCAGGGAACATTGGCACCTCCCTGCCAGTAGGGGATGTGCAGGATCTCATTGCTGGCCCTTAGCAGCAGGTGCAGCCACTTCTTGAGCAGCCACCAGATCTTGGCATCCGCCTTCTTGAGGGGGGTCTTGGGGACCACTGAGCCTCTCAGGACAAACAATGCAGGGGATGAGGAAGGTGTTCACCATGTCTATCTTCTGCCAGGGGGCCAGCAGGGATGAGTCCAGCATACCATCAAAGATCCCATATGAGTTATTCCATACCAAATGAGACCCTCTTTCTTCCAAGTTCCAGGAACTTTATTCAACAGCTTCAGCTTCCTTTTGCACCATTTTTTCCTCAACTTCTTCCATTTGTCATAAAGCTCAAGCTAATAATCAAAACAATGGCTTTCCCTCAGGCCCAAACATCTATTAGCAATGATTGTTTCAGACAGAGAGATCAAAAAGCTAAACTCAGCAACCTGTTCTGACTCTTTCACCCCCCTTTCCATCTTATTCCAGTCACCAGGGGGGTATTCCTTTTTGCTTCAAAAGTAAAAAAACATTTATAATGGAGTTTATTTAGACCTTCTTGCTTTAAGTAAGCAAGTTTTTAATCTATCTCATACATTCCTGTAATGTAGGTTTGATGTTAATGGGTTGTAAAGTGGGTAATAATTTTCTGACTGACCTCTTCAATCAGATTAGATCATATTATTGACCGCACTGTTTGTTTTATAACCACAATATGATTGTGGAAGAATATCTCTTGCAAGTTGCACATTTGTAAGTGCCCATTAAGGCAAAGGATGACAGGTCTGCATGTTTGGCACTTTTAAAATATTTCTTTTTGCCTTGCTGGGTGTATTCCCATCTGCATCCTAAAGATATATACTTACATCTTGGGGTTCTGAGAGGGAAACTTCATGGCATTGGTCTGCTTTTACCTCTATGCTACAAAGAAGGAATGAAGCCCAAATTTCATAATGTTTAAAAAGCAAGAGACCCATTTGAAAGTCCAAAATTTTTAGAAGTCCCCTTGGTGAAGCCATTGTTTCCATTTACACTACAAAAAGGCTTTGGAAGTCATTTCATAATTAGAACTAGAACTGTGTTTTTATTTTAAGTAAGCATCTTGTATATCAAAAATGTCATTCTGCCAAAGCTTTTCATAATAATGTAACAAGTTTCAACAAAACTTTCAGCAGGAAAGCTTGTCCAAATGAATCTTCCAATCAGCAGCTAAGACAGAGACCATCCAAGAATGGTTCTGCCTAATTCACATCTGGGACTTGAACATGGACTAACTTCTTCAGTAGGTTTCTAACCATTGCACTATATGCCACTCCTCTCTCTCTGGCCCAGTAGCTATTTATTTATACAAAGTAGAATTCCCAGCAGAAGACTGCTCACTGTTCTATTGTTATTGGTGGTTATGACAACCCCCAGGCATGTGGGACATTTGTACTCTCACAGCTATCATGTATGCCCCAACTACTAACTAGCAGTTATACTAAGGTTAGAAATGTTCATTCTCTTTGTTTTCCCTTTCCCTTAAAACATTAAAAGGTTTTAGCTTTGCTCAGTGAAATTCAGAAAAATCTTGCAAAAAGGAACAATTAAATCCCCACCCAGCTGTACTCAAACCTACTTGTTATGGATCTTCTCAGTAGGCTCTAACAATTAGATCCTTTAAAAACCATATGAGTGTCAATCACCACTTCTGCTTTGCCCTAGGCACCCAGCGATGTGCCTACAGCACTGGAAGTAGTAGTAGAAGAATGCTAACAATGAATAATCACACATTTTTCTTTTCTAGCTATTATATCTAGTAAAGCAAGAGGATACTATTATACAGTTGAATAGATGTACATATTTTGACATGTACACCTTTTTAAAAAATAGCGCGCTCACACACGTCTCTCCTCAAAGAAATGAGGAAAAAACTTTTTTTCCTAGGTAAAGTAGATACTAGGGTTAATGTAATAAATGTAAGTTAATCAGGTTTTGTGTATTTACCCTTAAGAAACTTTTCTCACTACTGCAAACAACATGGGTAACATTTTCAGAAGCGCATAAATAATTTAGGACCTCAAGATCATATATACTGCCCCCATGCTGAGAAACAAGCCCCCTCTACTTGCTCCTGTTTCTTGTATGTCAAAGCTTAGCAATTAGCCAGAGTAGACTGTTAAGAGTGGCTCCAAGTACTCATCCCCAAAACTGCTCTCAGTTTTTCTGTCTTGGGAGTGCTAGTGCAGACCTCACCCTAAGACCCTTTTCCAAAATGTCTTGCACATGACTTAAGCACTCTTGAACATTTTAGTCTGAGGTTGAGAAAAAGCCCTTAATATGATTCTCCACCAGTCTCCATTTAACTGTAACTTGGTGCTTACTTGAGTTTTAGGAATTCAGGCAAAATCCCTTCTAAGAACTAAAAAAATAAGGACCTCAAGTGAAAGCCTAACAGCAGCTGCTACTACTTTTCTTTTAACCAGGTTGAGTATATTTATGAAAAACAAGTAGGATACAAAATATAAAACAAGAGCTTGGGCTCTGAAACTAGTATGTCATTTCTCTCCTGATCCTCTTGGGACATGGAAATGGATCCAAGGCTCTGTATGCATTGATCTAGTATCTCTCTTTTTTTTTTTAAACAACTGAAAATTAAGTCAAACTCAGTGACTTACCATGGCATGACAAGATCTGCAATTGTTAGACCTGCAATTAAAATCAAAAGCACACGTTCAAAGTTTGGATAGAATTTCTTTTAAAATAGATTATCATTAGAAATAGAATATGCTTCAAATAAAATCCAAGGATGAATCTTTCATAACTAAGTTGCATGCCACAGAAAAGCTGTATCGCCCTAATTAGCAGACAACTAGGCTTCTTCAAGTATATCTAAACCACTTCCGAAGACTGCCCTTGTGAAGCACAACTTGACTGCTTGCTCTGCATGAACCAAATCCAGAAATGAGGCAACAAAATCAGTTGAAGGGCACCCTCTGCCATCACTCTTAATCATAGCAAAACTAACATCCTAACAGCAGTGGCAAAGGGTACCCTTCTCTGAGGCTGCCACCACCTTACTGCTGGATTTGGCATGTGCAGAGTGGGTAGGCAGGGCATGTTTCCTTGCAGCAGTCTCAAGAGGACCAGGAAAGCTCTTCAGAGATGCCCTTGGTTAATACTAAAGCTGAGAACATAGAAAGTTCTTGAGACCACATGTAAATAACCTTAAAACAAAGTAAGCAACCATCATTTCTATCACTCCTTTGGAAAAGCTATACCTATTGTCCAGAATTATTTCTTCCAAACAAAAGCAAGCTTGTCAAAAGGAAGGTATTGGGTCTCTTGTTTTTTCTTTGTCCAGCTTCCTTGGGGATGCCAACATGTTTGTAGTGTAAAAATATGAAAAAACTGGAAGCTTAGTCAAGAGAAGTTTAGACTAGAAATAGGATGACATTTTTAACAGTGAAGGTACACAAATATTGAACAAAATTCCAATAACATGGTGTACACTTCATCATTTGGAGTCTGTAAAACAAGAACAGATGTCCTTTTTACAAGGTATACCCTTGCTTAACCATTAGCTATTGGTCCAAAGCAAGGATTACCAATTTAAGCTCTGTGGTTGTGTTATACATCAAGTAAGTTTCAAAGAAAAGATGATAGTCCCTCCTGATGAGAAAACAGAGTCTGGGAAGAGCAATAGCTACCAACTGTATTGTCACTCTTGCTGTTGTTAGACCTGGTACAATTTAAATTATTTGTATTATGCATCAAAAGAAAAAAGCATCTACTTTCCTTAACAGATGGAACCAAAAAAAAAGAATGTTAGATGTTCACATTAAAAAAACAGATTCCTAAAACTCTTAAAGGCTCAATAAGCTACCAAAAAAATCTTAATAGTCATAGGCCACTGATAGATGTTCAGTTAAAGGCATGATAAAATTTGATACACAATCCCAATAATTGTGCCTCCTGTCATGCCGCACATGCCTAGCAGGAAGCATGATTATGGAACTGGGAATCAAATCCCTGGCTGCATATATACATTCAAATAATCTGGGTCAATTTGTTTGTTCTTGTAACAGAAAAACTAACCCAGAGCCACATGTAAATTTGGCTCTGGGTAACCTTACCCAAACCGTTCAAATGTACAGACATCCAAATGCTGAGAGCCTGAAGAGTGGAGAGTTTGAAGTGCTGACACTGCACAGCTAATAATCAAAACAATGGGAATCCCTGTGTACACAAGCTCAGTATACTTTTCAGGCTCCCTTAGTCAGACTGGCAACAGCAGTGCATAGGACAGCTCTGATTGGCTAACCCAGACTGCCCATTGTCAGCCTATGGTGTCAGCACGTATATGTACCCACTCTCTCAGCAGAAACTCTCCAGGAAGTGATTTAACCTTAGTTGTTCCAGTTTATTTTTCTCCTGGACTGGCCATTTTTACTCTGGGAGAAAAAGACTGAACAACTGTACATTGAGGATTTCTTCTGGAAGAGCAACGATGCTCCCAGGAGAAACTGAATGTCTGTACGAAGCCCCAGTCATGCTATGCTGTCGGTACAGGCTCTCCCTGTACCAGCCAAGTGGTGCTTCCCAGCCACAAAAGCATATGGAGCCCTTTGCTCCTATGTGTTCCTGTGGCTAAAAGCACCCATCAGCTGATCGCAGCTCCCACCGTGGAGTAAATGGGAGCTCAGGAGACCAGCTCCAGTCATCTGACAGGAACTCTAAACCATGGGGAACATAGGAGTCCTTCAAGGCTCTGGTGCTGGCCACATATTTAGTTTATGGCACTATGGGAACCAGCCACAAAGCCATTACACATTTTTTGCATAATAACGTTTGGCTTATGCCCTGTTTTATCATGCCATTAATTGAATGAACATGTGCCTGGGTTAGGTGTAACACTTTCCAAGGGCCATAAAGATATATACTTGTTGCCTATTGTTATTTTTATTTCACCTAAACATTTGTATTATAAACACTGGATCATTGAACAGAAGTTATTTCCTATGAATTCATATGAATATCTCCTTAGCATTATAGTTTTTCTGAATTAAAGCTGTTAGAAACATTTCAGAAAAGCAAAATGTTATTTTCTTAAAAACAAATCTTTTCATGGAAAAATGTTTTTTGGAGAAAGAAACTTTGAAATGAAACTGGAATTTTGTTACAAAATATTTTTTAAGATATTTTCCTTTTTTGTGCTATAGAATTAATTGAAACTCAAAGGCTTTTTTTCTTCTTTTTTTCCCCTATTACCACTCTAACTTTACCGAAAATATTTGTGTTACTACATGACTAAGCTACAGTTTCATTTTACCAAAGCAAGTTACCTGTGACAGAACTAGGATTAACCTAGAGATGTGTGTGGTTTTTAAAGATTAAAATATACATGTAATTAAAGTGTATATTATGAAGATGGTGGTTTATAATCAACATCAATTGATTGGCTGACAAAAGTACAGAGAGATAATTATTGTACTTGGCAACCTACATATCCATTTAACAGACAGCCCTATACCAGGAATCCATTGTTACAATATGTGACTGAGATTTGGTTGATAGTAACATGATCTTAAAAGCCTCTATCTAGCTTTCACAAGTCAATACACTCTAGTGAAAAGAAAGGATCAGCAAAACCGGACAGTTACAGACCCTGCTTAAACATAAAGAGAGACCTGCACAGACTATATACTAACTATAAAATGAAAGAATGGACTCTAGCTAAATAAAGTAATGGTCCTCAAGTGGAAAGACAACATACAATTAGATTTCACATGCTTATTTTAAGATCAATATTTTTCTGCTGATTTGCTGAAGAGGCTTTTATGACATTTAAGCAGAGTTTATTGTTAAATACTTATAGATAATACAATAGGCCATATTAATTCTTTTTCTTTTACAGATCAATTATGAGTTTGCTGATTGGCTTAAAGTGTTGTGGGATGAAGCAGAAAGATGAATGCTATACCATACCGTTCCACGGAGTGTGTTCAAAGAACCAATAGCCTCCACCACCATAGTTAACAAAGACCATGACAGTCAGGGACAATCTAGAAAACCAAACATATGAGACATATATTTTTACCCGCAAACAGCAAAGTCAAGTTTCACAAACAGAAACAGAAAAGGCACACATTTATTTTGTAAGTTACATCTAAACTCCACACTTCAAGATATGCCAAATAAAGTCCATATATGTAGGCAAAAAAGTATTCAAAATTCACTCAAGCCTACAAATGGAGACTAGGAGTGGGGAAAAAGACAGCAGGATAAGGCTTAACTCTGTCAGGGGTCATAAATATAATTACAGGGCAGGCTTGAGGATGATTTTGTCCCCTAACTTTCACGCATAGAAAACGTGCTGAAGCTGAGGGACAGCAGCTTCTCTCTCCATCCTACATCCCCTTTTCCTACCCACTTGCTTTCTCAGTTAACAAGGTAGAAGTATAAAGGAAGTGCCAGGAGACCTGTGCCTTGGAATCATTTTCCAACCAATCACGGTGGTGAACCACACCCCTCCACCTGCCCTTCCCTAATCCCCTGCAACACAGAGGCTCTTCTGCAGGGTCTGCCTGGGGTGGCAACTCTTCTTGTTACACAGCAGAAACAGTATGGTGAATCTGAATTCACAGCACATACCACAGGACTGAGAGAAATGCAAGTGTGTGAGCACTGCCAAGGACATATGGAAGCAGTGGGGCTTGTCTAGTATTTGTAGAGCAGGTCTAGAAAAAACTAGAACTTATAGGCACAGACTAGAGTGCTTAATGAAGGATTGATAGTCCTGAAAAAGCAAAGGTCAATGGTATTAGGGTTCAGAGGGTAGGTGATTTCATTAAGTTTCTACAGAAAGTAGGGTCCAGGGATATAAGGATTGAGGTTTTGGCTTATGGAGGGATCAAGGGACTCCTCTGGGACTCCTAAAGTGATGGAAGGGAAACGAGGCTCAGAGATCCACTGACTGAAGACCTCAACACTAATCACTGCTAGATCTGGGGTGTTGTTTACATTATATTACTTGATACAAAATATAGCATTCTTGGAAGGGGCAGGTTAAAAAAAAAATCAGTAATGATTCTGGATAAAATGATCACATTGAATTGTTTTATCTAACAGTAATTAAAGCAACCAAGCATGTGTCAGTTATAGATGCAATGGTAACCTTTAAAGAAAAATCAGTAATTACCATGATGCAAGATTGCAATAATTCTGGAATTTCTGGTGTTTTCTAGTACTCTTTTCCATAAGATGTTACAAAAATTTTTTTTTTACTTTATATTATTTTATTGCAACTTAAAAGTTGACTGAAAAAGTAACTCATTTTCTTCACTCACCTAGAAGGACTGTATGATACAGTTCATCTGATAGCTTAATTATGGAAGAGAATGAGTATGCTCTGAACTGAAGCAAGCACAGCTTGACACCTATGAAACCAGAATATAATTGATACAAAAATTATATCTACTTAATTTTGGTTAAGCTCCTGAGCAAGTGAAGCAAACATTTAAGTTATCCATCATGCTCATTATAGAATCACTGGAAAATATAGCTACAAGGGACTCCTGGAGCTCATCTAGTCAAACCACCCTGCTCAAGGCAGGATCATCCATGACTAGAACATCCCAGCCAAGCGTCTGCCTAACCTGCTCTTGAAAATTTCCAAAGATGGAGATTTCACAACTTCTCTAGGTAGCCTGTTCCAATGCTGGACCACACTCATAGTTAAAAGGTTTCTCCTAATCTAAAACCTAAAGCTGAGGCCGTTGCTCTCAGTCTTGTCCCCTACAGCCATGAAGACAACAGTCTATCTCCATCCTCTCTATAATCATCCTTCAGGTATCTGAAGGATAGTATCAAATCCTCCCTCGGTGTTCTCTTATCCAGACTAAATTCTAGCTCTTTCAGCCTTTCCTCATAAGTCTTACTTCCCAGGCACCTAATAATTTTTGTTGCTTTATACTGGACTCTCTCCAATCTGTCCATATCCTTCTTGAAGGACACTGTACTCTAAGTGAGGCCTCACCAGTGCTGAATAGAGTGGAAAAAACACAACTTGATTTACAAGCAACTCTCCTGATAATACAAACCAGTATATGCTGCTGGACTGTTTTTGCAGGAGTACACCATTGACTCATATTCATCTTATGGTACACTGTAACACCCAAGTTCTTCTCTGCATTACTTAAGCCTAGCCAATTCTGCCTCATTCTGTCTTTGTGTTTGCAATTATTACATCCCAAGTGCGAGGTTTTGCATTTGTCCTTGTTGAATTTCATCTGATTGATTGTGGACCATTTCTCTAGTCTATCCAGGTCATTTTGGTTCCTTGCCTTACCCTTTGAAGTAACTGCAACTCCACCCAACTTTGTGTTAACCACAAATTGCTAAACCCACACTCAATCCCATTGTCCAAATTATTAATGAGAACGTTAAACAATATCAGACCCAGGATAGACGCCCTGGGGAACACCACTTGATATCTCCTCACAGCTAGAGATTGAGTCATGGATGACTAGTTATTGAGCACAATGATCTAACCAATTATATATCCATATTACAATACTTTCATCTAGTCTGTATTTTCTTGGCTTGTTAAAAAGGACATTGTGGGAGACGTCAAAAGCCTTGCTAAAGCTGAGGTATATCAAATCCACATTAATGGAGAAAACAAACATGGAAGTCCACCATGCACAAATAACAGGCCTTGATTTGGCTAAACTTGTTCTTCAAATTGTGTGACATTATGAATACAACATAGATCTAGAATCTTGCTAATCATATGTGACATCCTTGGCAGTAAGTTCTATTCTCTGGCTGCACATTTACACCCTGCTCATGCAGGAAGCAATTTAGAGATTATACAGTTAGTCCAATAAACAATGTCAACAAAAACAAATCCTTGCCTCTCACATATTTCCTGGACCATCACAAATACTGCACCATCCCAACCATCTCATAACTTAGAGAATACCTTACTTGAATGTAATCACCACAAACATTGTGAAAACACATTCTTTTCTCATTATAGTTTACTTATGATATCAGAGTAAAATCCAAGGCAAGTGATTTTGCAGTAACAGAAATGAAATATATTGTAGCAAAACAAACAATTATATTTCAAACTCTGCAAAGTTTTGGTTGGTGGATAAACATGAGTCTTAGAGAAGTGAGTGAGACAAGGTGTAACTGTCCTCATGGCAGGGACAGAAATGACACATAAACTAGTATACACGATCAGAAGCCAGTTCAAGTCTGTAACACAACTGAAGTTCAGTGTACATAAGCCAGTTTCAAAATGGCTGAAACCAGTTTAAGATAAAGATTTAAGTTAAATTCGTATACTGAACTTCTGTCCCAGATCCCCTCCAGATTCAAGTTAACTCACAGTCCCCCAACATCCTAGGATCCTTTGTACTGCCTCAGCTAACCTCCCCTAGCAAGGCGGGCAGGCTAGCCTTGACCCAAGCTGACTGCTCCATCCCAGCAGGGAGGCATACTCTAGCACCCACCGACTTTTGGCCTAGGCCACTGCAGTCATGTGGCCGCATTTCTAGAATCAAAAGTGAATATCTGTTCACTCACTTATTGGTTCAATCTACACACCATAGACTAACCTGAAAAGACTGAATCAATTCAGCCTCCAGCTTTTTGACTGTCTGTATTTAGCCCATGAGAACAAGTCAGGTATTATTTTTTCCTGGTACAAAACAGACCAAACTAAAATTCTGAAAAAGAATGTGAGTATCTAAATCTGAATGATTATAGGTTTTGCTGGCTGTTGAGTAAATGGGAATAATCAAGGACAGACAGCAGTCTGATAGTATATATGGCTAATTTACATTATAAATTTGATTGAAAGATACTGGTGTAGAATCTGAATTTTATATTGACTAGTACAGAATTAATAGGTTCAGCCAAATTTTAAGCACCTACATAATGTCATATTTATGTCTAGATCATTTCAGATAGTGATATTGTTCAGTGCTATCAAAAAACTTCAAATCTATGCTGAATACATATCAATTAATTTTAAGTGATAACAGACCAAATCTGGCTTTCAATATGCTTGACGTGTCCTCATTTTACCTCCTACATATCCATATGGACATATATACAAATTCCCTCCAAAAAAAAATTACTGACAGAACAGAATTCATAGAAGAAGAAATAATTGTGATTAATTTCTGTTATTCTGTCAATAAGTATTAACACATCCTCAAGAAAAAAGATGGCCTTTTGCATTGTATGGAGGAATCTCAGCTCAAATGCAGAAGCCTGTAGCAAAACCCCCAGTTTTTCTTTTGCTTTCTTTTTTTTTTAAATGCATTCCCTCCCCTTCTCCAACCATTTCTGACTGTCTCTCCCTCTCTATTCCCTATAGATAAGTATAAGTGAGCTAAGACATAGAATAAGCTTCAGCATTTTATTTTTGTAGCAAGTTGTATTTGTTTTGTTTTTTCTCCTTCTTTATATTGTATAATTATTATGTTTATATTGATTTTTTACTGTTCTATAGTACTGTTTTCCTGGTACTATATGATTTAGTCCTACATATGTAAGTTAGCATAAGTCATGTCAAGTTTCCATTTTGTTTGTCAAGTCTCCACCCTGTCCCCAGGCCCAGCTGTGTAACCCATGACTCACACTGACCCCTCCTATGTAACTTGATTCCTGAATGAATGGGGATGAATGAGGGTGCTTGAGAGACAATGGCAGTAGGTCTAAAAATAGCTCCCTCTGAATGACTGAACCATCAACACCAATACTTGGACCAATGACCCAGCCCTTGGAACCACCCTCAGCATTCAAGAAACAAAAGAT